GTGGTATCATCAATTGGCTTGTACCCTAGATTTCAGTGAAAACTTGTCACTGAATGCAATACTGATAGACAGAATTGGAAATACAACACTTGTATAGGGATAAACCATAATGCTTAAAGAAATTGTCTTTTATGGACATTGTGAAATGTTTGATCACATTGTTGTAAGCATTCGTAGTATATTCTTTTATGTTTTGACCATTGTACATAAATATATGATGTGTCATATATAATGGTACATCAAATACACAACTACATTTTGTACCATGCACAATTAATACAATGTTCTGTAGTGTCATTCAGTTTGCCAGCTTTCATGTAGTTTGGATGTTTTTATAGGATAAGATAACTAAATAACAAAGCAATACTCATATAGGAGGAGTCTTCTAATGAAAGATATTTAACTGCTGGGTTTTTTTTCTTACTTCTAGACATGATGCTGATGTTGTTGCTTCAAAGACCGGTAGTATGAAAGGTACACCGGCATGGATGGCACCTGAATTGTTAGATCCTTCAGTAGGTGACATCTCTACTAAGGTAAGATTGATGTGTGTCCATTGAACAGTCACTGTAGTTTTTCCATCACCATCAAAAAGCCTCCACAGATTTACTTTTAAGGTCATCTCAAACACGAACACAATACTTAGAATTAAAAAAAGAAAGTTTTTTTAGAAGTAATGTAGGAATTTCACAGTTGTATAATTTATGTCACTTAAGGTAGCGAGACTATTATTTGTGTTGAAAATTACGATTTTCACATTTATTTATTATTTGGTGAAATGCACTATCAACTTTCATCTGATAAAGTCAACGTAACCTAGAATGTCATGTAAGTTGGTTAAAATATAGATTTTCTGAAGGGAAGCAATGTAGCTTCAGTTGTGTTTTCCAAAATCAACAACACAGGTTTAATCTGTGTGCCTATAAGTTTTAAAGATAAACTCAAGACAAAGCAATGTTAGGATGTATTATTTATATTATCAGTAGCTATCTGACACACAATTAGTGTTTCCAAACATTTGAGTGGTTTGTCTCCGCCCCTGTTTATTTCACAGATTTGTCATTTGCATATGAATGTGTCAGACACAAGGTCACACAGCCACTGAAAAAAATCATTGATTTTGGTGTTTTCATCTGCCGATTTTATCGAACTATAGCTATCCTATTCCTTTACTTTGTTGGTTTCCAATAGCCTTACACATTTGGATTTCCCTACACATGTTAAAACACACTTTGATGGGAAAACAAGTCACTTGTGCAGATAAACAAGCTTGAAAATCTTTGCTGTGACTTCATGGACGTTTTCTAGGAGTTTATGTTTTTCAAAATACAAGGTCTTTAAACAAAAAATAACGTATACTTATTGTCGTCAGATTTACACCAAATTTTCACAGCTTTAAGGTGACAATGAGAGGAACTTGAATGTGTCCAGACAAACTATTTCATGGATTATTTACCAATGTGTTGTGGTTTGAGTTGGGGGCAATGCGACTAAAACAGAAATTAAAATTCAGGACACGCGTTGCTTGAATAAAACTGACCAGACACATTCAATTTACGAGACTATTGAACAACTAGGAAAAGTGAAAAAAAAACTTCTAATCACCACCATAAATGCGTAATTATTTTTTTTACAAAAAAAGTTATTTTTCACTTTTGATTAAGTAACACACCGTAGAATGCAGATATGCAAATAATAGTCCAGCTACCTTAAAAGCCAAACACCACTAGAGCTGCTATTTTAGTTTCTTATGATTGCACAACCTTGGCTGAAGTGTCTTGTTACACAAGCTCAGTGATGTATAAATGGACACTACTACTTTGTAGTCAAACATTGCTACAATATAGTCACTCTGATATCTTTTTTCATTGCACAACCTTGGCTGAAGTGTCTTGTTACACAAGCTCAGTGCTTTGCACTCTCAATGGAATCACATGTTCATTGAAAGACAACACCTAGTCGGTTTGTGCTTTTTCTGACTGATCAATCCTGTCAATAACAATTTTGTCTTCCTTCTCTTTTTTTCTTATTTCT